AACCCCCCTCCCCCGCCATGCCACCGGCTGGCCCTGACTTAACTGTGTCAGGCCTTAGTTTTTCTCATCTGTAAGATAACCATGATAATGGTGCATGTACCATCAGGAGAATGAAGAGAGGTGGTACCTGTAAGCTTTTAATATGCCCCCAGCACAGAGTAAGTGTTCTACAAATGGTATTTATTGTTATTATTATTTTGAATGCAGATTATTCCATTGTACAGATGTGCCATAATTAATTTAACTCATTACTCCCTGTTGGACATTTGGATTGTTTTGCAACCAGGTATTCTTTTTAAAAAAATAATTATTCATTTAATTTTATGTATCAACATTTTTTTTTTTTAATTTGCTAAAGGGCACGTGCACTTACCAGAGAGAGACAAAGTGAGAAAGCAAGCCACCAGGTCCGGGACTTGAACTATAGTTGGCCACTTGGGAGTCTAGTGCTTTACCCACCACACCACCTGCTGGCCCCAACCACGTACTCTTACAAACAGTGCTGTGTGATAAATATTCCTCTAGCTCAGTTTTGGGGTCGCTCTTTAAAAATTGGATCAGCTCTCAGAAGCAGAAATACTGGGCCACATGACATGTACATCTGAAGGCTTTTAATACAAATTGTCAAATTGCCCTCCCAAGACTACAGCATGTCTTAGCTACAGCATGGAAAATATTATTTTTATTAACAAAATTTTATTTCTAAATATCTGTCTTAAGAATATGCTGATGACATAATGATTATGTCGCTGGACTCCCACATAATCAACCACGGTTTGAGTCCTGGACCCAGTGGTTTAAAACTCATGCCGTGTGTGTGTGTGTGTGTGTGTGTGTGTGTGCCCAAAATCCTGAGAGGAGAATGGAAGAGAAAGGACTGTGGCATGGTCATGCCCCCTGGGGGGGGTGATTTTTCACTTTCTGTCTCTCTATCTCTGTCTCTCCAGTGAGGACGCACACCCTATAGCAAAAATCTCTCTCTCTTGAAAAGAAGAAAGAATATGCTGATTAGTTAAATGGGCTGTAATAGCCCACAGATCATGGATACTGTACTTGGTTCTAAAATTGTAGGCCAAAGTTCCCCAGCTTCTTGGGCCTGAACAAACCTTAGACAGACTAGTTATTTTTGTCCTTAGTTTTACTCCTCAGTCTCCATATGCTGGTCTTTGGTTTGGAAAATACAGCCATGTGTCTTTGCAAATAGAGCTGACCCGTTTGTGTGAGCTCTTCTGGAATCCTGGTGTGGGAGAGGATGGGCCCCTGCTGCCGGCAGGTTTGTGGGTGATGCTGGCAGCAGGGGCCCAACTGGGGGAGGGCAGTGGTTTGACCTCTGATGCAGATTCTCTAGTTGAGCCCATGCCAGGCTGTTTGAGTAGGCTGGATCAGGGTAAGGTGGGCAGGGGTGAGGTAGTTCTGGGCACAGTGGTACTGCCTGCTTCCAAGAGGTCCCCTGGGGTACAGCGTAGGACAATACACGTGCTCTGCCTTGTGGAACACACTTGCTGTGTCGTGTGTGTGTGTGTGTGTGTGTGTGTGTGTGTGTATGTGTGTGCGCATGCGCACACAGGTGCTAATAGCTACTGACAGTCATGCTGGGGTCTGTGCACTCTGGCCCCTCTGCCTGAGTGCTCATCCCCTGATGCTGACAGGTGGCCCTCTT